TAAAAATGGGAGTTCATAACTCACTGAAACTAATGTTTGAAATATGATATGTCAAGAGCTTTGTAATGTTTTGAACAACCAATAAAAAAAAAAGAAAAGAAAATGTGGTATGGACTCAAAATGGAAAATTGTACAGTCTTTAAAAAAGAAGAAAGTCCTATAATTTGTGACAACATGGATGAACCTGGAGGACCTTATGCCAAGTGAAATAGACAAGCACAGAAAGACACATGCTGCGTGATCTCACTTATAAGTGAAATCTAAAGCCAAATGTAAAGAGTAAAATGATAGTTACCAGGGGCTTRGAGTGGTGTTGGCACTGTAGAGATGTTAGTCAAAGGATACAAAATTTCAATTAGGTATTGAATAACATGGTAACTATAGTTAATAACAATGTATTATACACTTAAAAATTACTAAGAGTAGATTTTAAGTGTTCACCACAATAATTATATAAATAATAATGCACAAATAAATATGTGAGACTGTATACAATAACTTGATTTTTGCCATTCTACAATGGATATATATTTGAAACAGTATGTTGTATACCATTAATATACATAATTTTTGTCAGTCAAAATGTATTTTTTAAAAGTACTGGGGTGTGTATTTCTCTTGCCCTGTCCCTGCATTCCTTCTGTGCAGTGGAAGTAGAAGAGTTCTTTAACCATTTAGATGCTGACATAACTATATTTCAAAGATGACAAACCAGCCCTACCAATCCTGGACCACCCACCTCCACCATAATTTGAAAGAAATAACCTTTTATTGTGTTTCAGACACTGTGCTGGGGTCTCCTTATTTAAACAACTTGGATTGTACTAAAATCAATAGAGGCATAAATGATCTAATGCATACAAAAGATTACACTTGATGAGGAAGGTGAATTGGGTGGAAGCCTTAGATGAAATTACCCATTCTGCATTAAAGGGTCAAGAAGAAACAGATGTACAAATGCCAAAAATTCTCCCTTGGCCAATGTAACTGAATCTGATGAGTTAGACATTTGACCTTGGGTAAACCACTTACCTTTATCCACATTTAAGCTTTAAATTGAAAAGACTGAAGTTGATCTCATAAGGATCCTTTCTAGCTCTGTTGGTCTGTAAATATGTGTTGTCCTAGAAAAGATGAGTGATGAGAAAATGCTTGAGATACTAAGTATCCAAACTGACCACTGGAGACTCTAAGTAGTATGTGCACGGACAACAAGGGTTCCAGCAGAATAGTTCTATTTTCTTCAATCTGTTTGCAAACTGGTTCTTAATTGACATCTCTTGGTTGAATCTTGCTTTTGCAAAAAGTGATAGCCAACATACATTCTTTCTCTGAACTACTTCCCTTAGAGCTATAAGATTGTTAATCAGCCTTTCAAATTAACACAGGTGACATTTTCTCCAATGCATATATCTATAATCCATTATGGATTGTTCTTATTCTCATGGTTTAAGATGTTTTACCACCCTCACAACTGAGTATCAACCTGTGTGGAAGAAAAAAGGAAACAGATAGCAGGTAGTTTCTCTGTAAGCATTTATCTAACCTAACTTCATCTAACTTTAATGTATTTGTGGAACAAAAAAGTAATAGTAAAAGGGCTGGAGATATAGCTGCGTTTGTAGAGTGCTTGCCTCACACGCACAAGGCCCTGGGTTCAATCCCCAGCACCAATAATAGATTTCAAGTCACCAGTGATACAATTTTAAGAAAAGTGACATTCTGTACAGTGAACCACTTAATCTCTATTTAATCATCAGGTTTTATTACAATATTCATTTGGATAAGGCTTTACTTTTTTAATATTTATTTTTTAGTTTTCGGTGGACATAATACCTCTATTTTATTTTTACGTGGTATTGAGGATTAAACCCAGTGCCCCAAGCATGCCAGGCGAGCGCACTACCACTTGAGCCACATCCCCAGCCCAAGGCTTTACTTTTTCCGTCTTTTCTGATCTAACAATTTGGCTTCACAGAATAAACACATTCCAATTGCATTTTCCCTACAAAATTGAGCCTTGTACATTTTACTAGATTCCCAGTCGTGGTATTCACCACAGTTAACACAGCCTTGCCAAATCTATTAATGTATGAAAACCGAATTTATAATTCAGAGCTATTTAAATTCCTTAAGTGATGCCTTCCGATACAGACAATGCTACACACAAGACACCCTTAGTGTCCGGTGACCTAAGCAGATACACCACAATGACCGGTACCGTGAACCATTTCACTCATTCTTTAATTCCAGTTCCTTTATCTTCCACATACCCCCTTTTCTTCTAGACTCAATTTTGATCACCTAAGACGAGGCTACGAGGACCTGGTTGCTAAGAGACAAGACGCTGGGAGGGTGGGGACGCTGCACTGCGACAAGCCAGGGAGCTAAATGCAGGGAGGGGGGAAGGGGAAGGCAAGAAGGCTGCCCGCTGCCGCCGCGCGTCCCGCGGCCTCCAGCCTCGCAGGAGCTCGTCGCTCATTGGCTCCGCCACGGCGGCGCTGGCCCACGATTGGCCGGGCAGCTTCGGGCCCAGCGCTCCCCCGCCCCTCGGCGCTGGTGCTAGGCTGCCGCCTGCCAGCAGCCAGGACCCGTGCGTGAGGGCGACGCGGCCCGGGTTGCGGGCTGGGTCGTGGGGGCCTCTTGGCGCGAGCGCGGGCGGCGCCGGCCACTGCAGGTGAGCCGCGGCCTGTGGAGGTGAGCTAGACGCCCGAGGGCTCGGGTTCCCGCCGGGAGCAGGAAATAGGGCGAAGGGCGGTACCGCTCGCCGCCAGCGGGTACCGTCGCTGTCCCCACCCCGGTGGGGTGAGCTGGGCCGGAGTCCCGCTCTCCCAAACGCACCCTCACGCCCTCACGCGCAGCCCTCCGCGCCCCGCGCAGCCCGCCGACCAGACTCCCGCCACCCGCCGGCTCTCTTCCCTGCCGCGGTCCCGCCCGCGCACCAGCGGAGGGAGTCCCAGCTTCTGTCCCGCATCTGTCCCCGCCTCGCCCCGCTGCCCGGCGCCTTTGTCTGCTCCTCACCCACCCCGCCCCCGAGACTGCGCCCACACCGGGTGGAGCCGAACCTCGAGGGTGCTGGGGGGTGCCCCGAGGATGCGCCGCGCTGGGAGCCTGCGGGCCGAGGTTTGAAGGGCTTTGACCCACTCARCCTGGGTGTGGGATGTGATTTTACTTTCTCCCTCTGGATCAAAGCCAACTCCCTAGATTCTCCTTGGTGGTCAGGGGTCAGGAAATCCGGCTCCAGGTTTCTCTCTGGTCCAGGGTGACTCAGTGTTACTGCCCCTGTTACACCAAAGGCCTCGGACCTGCCCCACTGGGCACTCTCTTASCATCCTGTCTCTGCCTTGCGGGGAAAATTCTCTTGTCTACAAGAACCTTTTCTATTTCAAAAAAGAAAAAAAAAAAATAGATGCTTGTCATGGTCTTGTGTGTAGTAGATTAAATCTAATAYGTATACATAAACCAAGATATGAGAATAAGGGAGGGGATGGGGGGACCGTTCTTTAACAAGTGTGAACTATTCAATAATAGAATTTTGATTTTTGGCAAATAATGTTTTACTTTAAATGTTTTAAAATTTTGATATTTTATGCATGGGAGTGGATTTAGTAGTAGGGTAATTTGACTTTTAGTGTCACACTCAGTTATTAAACTAATTCGTGGGAAATTTTTATGCCAATAATGGCTAAAGTAGGAAGGAGGGATATAATGATAGCAGTAAATTACTTCTCACAATTTGTATGCCAGAAGATGTGCTGGTGCTTCATAATGTTATTTAATTCTCACAATAATACAAAAGGTAGCTATTGTTTTTCATATAAGTGAGACAATTGAAGCTCCAGGTTGYACTACTAGGAGAGGTAAAGCTGGATTAACATCTACAACTCACTCAATTTTACTTCATTAGGATATTACTGTCTTTCCTTTTATCCATCATATTAATCTTTATGAATCTGTTTAATCTAAAAATCTCAGAAATGGTAATGCTACTCCTACAAACAGTCCTCACTGTGTGTCAGGTAGTACTTTTCATCAAAAGTATATGTGAACTAGCTACTATTGTTTTCTTTGTTTTAGAGATGTGGAAAGTAAGGCACAGAAATTATCTGAACCAGATAATACCTTAAGTTGTAGATCCAGGATGCAAACTTGGACAATCTGACTCCAGAATCTACACTCATAATCACTACRTTATACTGGCCCTTCAATAAGGTACATCTCTGGTTGGTAGGAAGATTAATATTTTTCTTTATGTGTTTCTTTTTAATGTCCATGTAAATACATATAGGATAGCTATGATGCCTGCCACCTCATATGTTATACCAGTGTCTTATTTAACAGTTATGTAGTACTAGTCATAGTTACACTGTAAGCTTACTATAATCCAACACCTGTGAACACAGTCTTAGGAAGTAGGTGCTGTTATTGTATGCTGCATCTCATTTGTGATGTGCGTTAACTTCAAAGTACTTTCACAAAACAATCCCTTTGAATCTCTTCGCTGTCGGAGGTGGTTTCATCACCTAATTTTACAACTGCAGTTCAATAAGAGTCAATAACGTACCATTGACGCTAGAACTCAATCCAGAGCTTCAGACTCTTGTGTACACTGCTTTTTCCACTGTATTGGYCTGTCAGTGGAAGCTTTGCTGTGTACTTCTTATCCTGAAATAGGCTATATTTTCCCATAGAAACAGCTAATATTCAGATATTGTGTTTTCAACCTAGAATCCAATGTCAGATAAATCATATATATGAGTAGTCATAGACCTTTGTCATTATTTTCATCTGTAAATTCATGATCCAAGTTCATATACAGTGCCTGGCACATAGTGGGGGCTTAGTAATATTTTTATTTTATTGTTTTATTTATTGGTTGTTTTTGTTGTTTTAAAACTGGGTGTAACCCAGGGGCATTTTATCCCTGAATTACATCCACAGCTCTTTTTTATTTTTAATGTCCTTTGTGTGTGTGTGTGTGTGTGTGTGTGTGTGTGGTGCTGGGGATCGAACCCAGGGCCTGTGCATGCAAAGCAAGCACTCTACCAACTGAGCTATATCCCCAGCCCCATTATTTTTAATTTTGAGGTCTCAAATTGCAAGTTTGAGATCTCAAACTTGCAATTCCCCTGTCTCAGCCTCTCCCAAGTTACTGGGATTTCAAGCATGCACCACTGAGCCCCTCTCCTTAGTAAATGTTTGAATAAAATAAGTGCCTCAGAAACACATTAACATAAAAAGTCTCCTCAAATGTTTAAATTTGAATGGGTAACTTTTTTAGTTTCCAAGCCCACAGCCTTTTCCCCCATTCACCTCACAAGCAAAAGCTTTCAAAGTTGTTTAATTAAACATAATTAGCTTCGTAATGAATTAGCATCTGTATCTCCTTACCCTAAACACCATCATTCCCATCTCAGTGCCTCCCCTCTTATATAGACTGGAAAGAACATGGATTTGAGAGTCAGTTTTACCTAAGGTTGAATCCTTGGTGTGTGTGTGTGTTACTAGCTCTGTGACCTTATACAAATCACTAAACTTTGAGCCTATTTCCTAATCTTATAAAATTGGAAAGAACCTGCTTTATAGGGATGAGGATTTATTGAAATAACATGCAAAAGACTAAACACAGTTCCATGGCTCCTGGTGGATACATAGTAGATAACAGCCATAATGTGTTCCTCCTCTGCTGTTCCATGGCTTCCCTCTGCTTTGATTCTTATACAAAATTATATTAATATGATGTTTAAAATATACTCTTCTACTAATATCCCTCACCAAAGCATAAACTCCTTGAAGACTGGGACCACATGGCATGGTCATAGAAGGAACTTTTATATCTAATACTTGGCAGAGGTGGACCCACTAAATGTATGTTGAATTACATCCATGTGGAAAGCCATCTAGAGCCTTTTACTTGGTGATATTATTGTCTGAAAACTTGGACCCCCTTGATTTAGATATAAGGCAGTGGATATGTTCTTAAAGGTCTCCTGGGTTAAGTAGAGATTGTGATGGAAGAGAAATGGGTAGGAACCCTGGGAATTCTCCACTCTGCAGGAGTATATGTTTGAGGGGGTTATTGGCCACTTATACAAGTGGCAGTGTGTCTGTTTGTGTGTAAGAATTGAACCTTATCAGTCCAGTTGTCGCCTTTGCTTCTAAAGACAAGAAGGATGAAGAATTTTCCAAAGAAAAGTTGTTTCAAAATGTAAAAATAATTATAGTTGTTGATATAATTCCTCTACCATTTATAAGTAATAATCACAAGGCACAATGACTATAATGCTTAGCCTAAATTTTAAGTTTCATTGTACCTTCATCTTTTGTAGAATGGATATTCAGTCATAGAAAAACTAAGGGAATATTACTTAGGAATAGAATGAAATTATAATTCTTAATTTTAACAAGCTATGTGTTTGGGTTTTTCACAGTTATATCATCTATGGATTGCTAATAAGTATAAATTAGGCACACTTAACAGATTTTTTTTAAGGAAAATAAATTATATCCCATCCCCCCAGCATTTTACTGTGAAAAATTTTGAATATACAGCAGTCTAAAAGAATTTTGTAGTAAACACTCATAAATCCATTACCTAGATTCTACCATTAATACTYTGTTATGCATTTATTGAATATTTATCCATCTGTTCATCCTATGTATCCATTTATGAAATCATAATATTCAGATGCTTTTATATTTGAAGAGATTTGGGCTAAATAATCTGAGTTTATTTTAAGTAAATTTTATTTTTCCTTTATATAGTAGCAGTTTTTAAATTTATTTTGGGGTTTGTTTGTTTTGTAGTACTAGGAATTGAACCCAGGGGAGCTATACCACAGAGCCCTTTTTATTTTTGTATTTTGAGATAGTCTCACTAAGCTACCCAGGCTGGCCCCAAATTTGTGATCCTCTTGACTCAGCCTCCTGAATACCTGAGATTACAGGTGTGCACCGCTGTACCCAACTAGATAATTTTTAGAAATGCATTATAACTAATTTACAATTTTCTGAAAACATTGAAATTTCAGATATAAATAAAGCTGCTTATCCTCCTTATCCCTAGTTCCAAAAGATGAGTCGTGGATATTCAGAAAACAACAATTTCCTGAACAATAACAACCAAATGGTATTGGACATGATCCTTTATCCATTAATTGGAATCCCTCAGACCATCAACTGGGAAACTGTGGCAAGGCTTGTACCTGGATTAACACCTAAAGAGGTAAATAACATCCCCCCAGATATCTCCTGGGTAAAAAAAAAAAAAAAAATCAGAAAAAAAAATGAGCAGTTTAAAGAAACAACCAATAAGTAAGAGAAAGCAATTCAAATTTTATAATACATATGCATTTATAAACACTGTATGCACATATTTATATGACTGACTGGATATAAACTGTAAAAATTATATATTAACCCACTTGATATTTTTGAATTCAGCTTTTCTCTTTAACCTACTGGGAAGTCTTGTGATACATCATGACATTATTTACCTTCATTTGGCACTGATGCATCTCTTCTATGCCCCCCTTGACCATAGACAATTGAAATATTTATTGGTACCAATTTAATTGTAAACAGAAAAGCAAATAGGCCTCAAAATATTCTATCATCCTGATAATTTAGATGATCTTATTAATGTTATCCTCAGAATCAAAACTTAAAATGAAAAATTCTTAGAGGAAACACATATTTCTATAATTCAATCATGAACACTAGTTTGAGAAACACCTCAGAACTGTTGCTGGTACAAGGAATGCTTAGAATTACACAAGTGGAAATGATAGTAATTTTCTCTAATAAATTTAAAGCATATTACTCAACTGCCTGGTCCATCATATACACTCAAAATATAGGTGTCAAATCAGTGAATGAATGAAGTTTCACCCTATGCTGTTACAACTGAGAAAACCAGTCCCCACAGAGATAACTTGCTCTCAGCTATATTTAGGTAATTGTGAAATCATGAGAGAATTTATTTTTTAATGTATATCATTGCTTCCTAATTTATATATTACCTTTTTGATTTTTACATTAGGTTTTAAAACAGGAGAAACTATTGAATTCATCTGTTATTCTAACTTTTTATTATAAATGCCTTCAAACATACAGAAGAGTTTAAAGAATAGTATAGTAGTCTGATTTCCGTTAAATAGGTCCAGCAATTATAGGTATTTTCTTTATCTCTTTGTATAATTTTTTTCTAGGACTTATAAGTTTTAGACACCATGATACTTCATCCCTATAGATTGTGGCTTGCATATCCTTAGAATAAGAACATTATTACATAATCACAGTATCATTATCAAACCTAAGAAAATTAATAGTTTTATCACTCCATAATATTTACTCTTTTTTTAATTTTAGGTGGACACAATATCTTTATTTTACATTTATGTGGTGCTGAGGATCGAACCCAGTGCCTCGTGCATGCTAGGCGAGCACTCTACCACTGAGCCACAACCCCAGCCCCACTATCTTTAAATTTACTGAGAAATTTTTTTGACTAAAATCCAACTGAATGTGAATCACAGTGTTTTTAGTACTACTAAATTTTAAATGTTTATTTAAGTATATATCAGAATAACATTAATAACTTTAAATGAAACATATCATTAAAGAATACATACACAGCTACACTGAGAATGTTGCCTAGCATACTCTTGAGTTCAAACCTCAGCACCACAATGGAAAATGAATACATACACCAAAAGTAACATGCAAAAAATAAGAATTATAGTCAGAAAAATCTGACCTTACCTAAATCAAGCAGTTGACACCTATATATTTTCTTCCCAATTCTTTTCTGAACCTGTATGAATTCTAAAAATGGGCATACAACAAATGTACTATTTTCAGTACTTGTTTTTTTAAAAACATCATGTTGTAAATATCTTTATATGTCAATAATAGAATTCTGTAACATTTCATGGCTTTTGTTTGAGCCATATCATAATCATTGAGCTAACATTCACCCCTCCTTTTCCCCTCTCACCACCTGATACTGGGAATTGAACCCAGGCCCTTGCACATGCTAGGGAAGTGCTTTACTACTTAACCTCCCTCCCAGACCTTTTTAATTTTTTTAATTTTGAGACAGAATCTTACTAAGTTGCTGAAGCTGGCCTCTAACTTGAGATCCTCCTGCCTTAGCCTCCGGGTCTTCTAGGATTATAGGCATGCATCACCAAGCCCAGTAAATCAGTTCCTTTTGTTGGATATTTAGGGCATTTTTCCCAATTTTTTGTCTACTATGGTACCACTATAACAAATATCTTAGTTTCATTTCCTTGGGGATTATCACAAAAGCAGAATATCTGGATCAGAAGGCACATGCATTTTTAAGGCATTTATTAATACTGTCATATTGCCCACTAGAAAGTCATTTATGTTATATTCTCCTATCAACATACCTGTATGCCTGATCCTTACACTTTCTATATCAAGTATTATTCTAATCCATTGATCTCTTTATCTAATAACCCACTACATTTTCATGTTGACTTACTTAATTTTGGTATTATTTCAATATTTGGTAGATAAGAAAATTCTATTTGTTTCTTGAACATTCTCTTATTAATTCCCTGTGTTATAATTTTTTTCCATTTCAGAGATGACTTGTTGATGATTTGAAAATAGAGAAAGTATAAATTATTTTTTAAAATTTTAGATAAGTGTTTAGCTTAGCTGAAATAATCTTATCTAGTTTTTTCAAAGTAGCTGTACTATTTTACATTCCCACCAAAAATAGATGAGACTTCTAATTTCGCTACATCTTCTCAATTTTATTATCTGTCTTTGATTATAGCCATCCTAGCATGTGTGAAATGAAACATTGCAGTTTTGATTTGCACTTTCCTGATTACTAATGATATGGAGCATCTTTTCATGTGTTTATTAACCAATTATACATCTTCTTTAGAGAAATGTCTGTTTAAATCCTTTGGCCATGTTTTAAATTTTTAATTTTTGCTAGTAAGAGTTTTTTATATATTCTGTATTACAAATCCCTTGTCATATATATGACTTGGAAATATTTTTCTCCTATTTTGTGGATTGTCTTTTCATTTTCTTCAATTAGAAGTTTTTAATTCTAATAAAATCCAGTTTAGGTAGCATTTATTCCTTTTGCTTTTAGTGTCATGGCTAAGAAACCACTACCTTATCCAAGGTTACAAATATTTTTAACTGTTTTATAAATGTTTATAACTAAGCATTTTATAGCTTTGGCTTTTTAATTTATCTTTTGTTCTGTTTTGAGTTAATTTTTGTATAAGATGTGAAGTAGGAGGTCCAACCTCATTCTTTTGTTTATAGATACCCCATAGTTTTTCTTAAACATGAAAGAATATCTAACAATATAATTAATTATTTACAGTTCATGTGCTTTTTTATGCAGTCATGTATCAATTTCAAATGTTAAGAATTCATAAATTTCTCACTTAAGTATTATTAATGACTGTAAATTATGGTAAATAAGATAAATCTACATGCTATTTCCAATATGAGTATAAACTTTACTTGAAAGATTTCAAAAGAATCCCTGTTTTAAAAGCTTARCTACCAAAAAATAAAGTAAAATAAATATACAAAGACAGGGTCTTCATCGCAGTTGGGGGGRAAAATGTTTACCTACCACTTTCTCTGTGTTACAAAGAATAATCTCATTTTGTAGGAAAAGTGGATTTAGTTAAACAATTTCTCTTTTGATCCTGTACATGTACATTTGTACATGTACATTTTTGTAATGATGTTACAGCATTTGTTTTATTTCTTTGCCCTGATTTCATCTCTATGTTTGTTTGTTTTTTAACCAGGGATTGAATTCAGGATTATTTACAACTAAGCTACATTAGCCCTTTTTTTTATTTTAAGACAGAGTCTCACTAAGTTGCTGAGGCTGGCCTCAAACTTGTGCTCCTCTTGCCTCAGCCTCCCAAGCCTCTGGGATTGATTATAGGCATGTGCCACCATACCCAGCACATTTCTACAACTTTTGTCTTCACACAAAAAAAATTTTCTATGCTTCTCACTTATCATACCAATTATTTTATTCAACTTAAGATTTTTTAAAAGACTTTTAAAAAGTTAATTGACACATTATAATTATATATAATAATGGAATTTGTTGTTACATATTTGTTTATGCACAAAATATACTTTGGTCAATTTCATCCCTCAGTATCTCACCTTTCCCTTCTCACTTCCATTCCCCTAGTTCTTTTCAGGTTGTCCACTGGCTGGTCTCCCCCTTCTCTTTTCATGAGATTCATGCACTTCAAATGTCTTTGTTAAAACTTCACTTTTCAAAGGACTAAGYCTTGGGTAGATATTTCTTTGTAGTAATAGTAACCATGTAAACAGTCATTACCTAAAAGTAATGCTTGATATTTTGATATCTTGTGGGTACTTGTTAAATTACTTGTATAATAAATGAATGATTTGCACTTTCCTAATTACTAATGCATATTATTCATTTAATATATATATATATATATATATACATATACGTAGTATACATTTTTCTCCTTTTGCACCCCCCAGATTACTTGATCTGCTATCTAACTTGCCATCCACATTGATGTTGATGGAGATTTAAAAATGGATGCTTTAACAGTGTTTGACGAAGACTTACAGTAAGGAAGGCATTTTATATTTGTGACCTAGTAAACACGTAGAAAAAACATTTTCATAAAGGACTACTTAGMCTTAGCTCAATGCACTCTTGAATTTTCTAATCTATTGTACTCTTGTATTTTTTTTCCCAAAATACTAACCTGAACCTTCTAAACTGATTTCGTGAACAATATTAATCCATTAAGTAAAATATCCTAGAGCAGACTGTGCCCAATAGGTGGCGAAGAAGTGTTACTACAAATTGTTTTAGTCAAGAGAAAACTTACTGTAGGTAAAAAACAAAGACTATTATATTAATAAAGAAAAKCTAGTGTCACAAATCAGATACTTTTTGATTTGCTTTCCATTAAAGACTAGAATTTGATCTTATTCCTAGTGGAAACTCRTTTAAAAATAAAAGGCAAGTATTTAACTAAATAGTTAATATTTTCAACTGATAATATATGCATATCAAAAAGAAATATGGCGAATAAAGACAGTTTTCATTTTTCTACATGAGTTTAAATATTTTTTTCTTTGGGTTAATGCATATTTAAAAAGAATTCTACCCTGAATTTTAAAAGRGAAAAAAGTCACAGGCCTTTGTTTATTGAAACACATATAAACGTTGTAGATGTCACCAATAGATCAATATTCACTTACAAAAAATGATTAAAGGAAAATATCTTCAAATAGTAGGTAAGAAAATATCTTTTTAAGTTTCATTTATTTCCCTTTATATCATGACAGTGTGCAAAAAGGTTTGATGAATTGAAGAGCAGTGGCAACTCACCTGTTGACAACCAGTATTATCCCTTAATGGAGGGAGAGAGTCCTGTTGAAACTTTAGCTACATATATCAAAACCTCACTTCTTGACACACAGGGAGATTTTCAGGAGACTCCAGTTGGTCAGGATGCAGTTTCTAAGACAGGTAAGATTTTAAAACAAAATACAGTACTCTGTGGAATTTTATGTTCCAATCAAGTTTTCTTTGTTTAAAGGCTAATATAAACATCTATTAGTGTTTGTATTTTCTCGTATTTTAATAATTATAATTGTCCTCTGTGTTTTAAGAACTTCTTAATTGTTGCTATATAAGTCAAACACTATTTCCAAAACAAAATCTTAACTATATCAAAATTTTTTACTACAGTGTGTTGGGCTAGTTATTTCATACATTATTTATTATTCACTATGAATATTCTTTTACTTTATTTTAAAGAAATTTGACCTATTTTTTTTACTTCTGTTTTTTTCCTACTGAGAGAATCTTGCTTGTCTCTCACATAATCTTTTTTACAACTACTTTTTACTGCAGTTAACAGGAGATTCAAATGATACAGTGGTAAGATAGAAAAGATGTTTCCTGGAAATAATTAATATCAGAAATCCTCAGAGTGTACTGAGTTGATCTCAGCAGCAGTAGTCAGAGAGTATTGATATAAGAATTTGCTTCAGGAAGAGAAAACTATGCTGTTGGCTTTGAGACATTTGACCCCTATTTGTACTTATTATTATTACATCAGTAGTTTTTGAAAACTTCATGGTAACTTTAGCAATTTTGTGCTTCACTTTTTGTACTATTTCTTCCATATGCCTTTAAAAATATTAACATAATGAAAAATGCCACTTGACAAATACCATCTTTAACTAGCCTTGGAAACCATGCATTTACAGTATTACCATTCAGTAAGTAAAAATCCATTCTCAGCTAGAAACGCTAACCCCCCACCCTTTTCTTTTGTATGTGTCTGTTTCTGTATTTAAGGAAGACATAGTATAGCTTCCACAAGGAATTGTTCTTCAGAAAGTGAAAATTGTACTACTCGTAATGGTGGAGGAAAGACTGAAGAATCTGAAGGGTAGGAGGCTGGTTATTTGCTAGATAAGATTTAATATTAATATCAACTTTAAATTATAAAATATACAATTAGTGATAATATGCATCAGTTACCATAATTCAGAAATTTTACATTACACAATTGCTAAAATAGTTGAAATTAGYTTAGTTTACATGTTGAGTTGTAAACAATTACTTAATACCTAAACATATGACTTGTTCCTGTTATTTATAAATTAGACTATAGTTTGCCATCTTTAAAAAGTTATTTTCATATTTGTAAAATTACAAATAACATTTATTAACGTAAAACTTTGGAAATTAAATTTTTATATCTAAAGAACAGTCTCTGTGCCATTAGTAGTCCAACTTTATTTAAAGAAACTATTTTAGAACTATTTGACTATAATTACTCATTATATAAACATTTAGTATTAGACTGTTTTTCAATACATTGCAAGTTTTKATATTTTATAGTGTTGTAAAATGCATGTATTTTAAATGTTTACTTTGAATTTTGACAAATAGGTAYGCCGTATAACTATCCTAAATCAAGATACAGAACATTTTTATCATCCTTGAGAGTTCCTTCATGAATCTTTAGTTTTGATAGATTTTTAATAACAACTTCATTAATACATAATTTGTATATCATTAAATTCACCTTTTCTTAAAAAGTTCTAGAAGTGKGTAGTGGTGATGATAAACACAACAGTGTGGATGTACTTGGTGCCATGAAACCGTACACTTAAAAGTGGGTAAAATGGTGAATTTGGGCCTGGGGTTATAGCTCAGTGGTAGAGCACTCACCTAGTGCATGCAAGGCCCTGGTTTTGATCCTCAGCACCACATAAAAATAAATAAACAAAGGTATTGTGTCCAAGTACAAGTAAAAATAAATAAATAAATACTTTTTTAAAAAGGTGAATTTTATGGTATGTATATTTTACCACAATTAAAAAAAAAACTTAAAAGTGCACAGTTCCGTGATTATTGGTTTATTCACATAGGTTTTTTAAGTTGATAAGTTTCTTTGTAGGATACAAACATTTTCCAGGTACTTTTTTTTTTTTTTTCTAGTGGTAGATGGACACAGTACCTTTATTTTATTTATTTTTATGTGGTGCTGAGGATCAAACCCAGTTTCTCACAAGTGCTAGGCAAGCTCTCTACCACTGAGCTACAACCCCAGTCCCAGGTACTTTTTTTTTTTTTTTTTTACTGGAATTATCTAATATTTTATATTGTGGTCCAAAAAGCCACAGAAATTTTATGTTTAATTATAATAGTATTATCTATTTATATTTTGACCATAATTTCTTTGGAAGAGCTATTTATTTTAATTCTTATAACTGATAGAGCATTGATTATAATCCTTTTTTTCTGATAGCCCGGTCCAATTTTACATAAAATGTAATTTTTTTCTATCCAATTTTGTGAAGTTCAATTAAATACAATAAGTTCATATTGTAGTACAGTGCTTTCTTCCTATTTATTCTGTTCTCTTTGTAATGACATGAAGGCAGATTTGGATCACACTGATTTTTTTTTTTTAAGTGATATGATTTTCAAAGAAAATAAAATCWAAGTATATATAATTGTTGAAGCTAAGTTTCTGATGCTTTATCTGAACTTATTAAAGTATTTTAAATATGTAAATACACTGTAGTCTTAAGAATCTTTTAACTACATTTATTAATGTACATTTCAGGAATGCCTAGAAGCACACTTTCTTGCTGTTAAAAATAACTAAGTAAGGGGCTGGGGTTGTAGCTCAGTGGTAGAGTTCTCATCTAGCATGTGTGAGGTCCTGGATTCAATCTTCAGCACCACATAAAGATAAATAAATAAAGGTATTGTGTCCATCTACAACTAAAAATATTTATTTAAAAAAAACAAAACTAAGTAAGCCATGGTAATTTGTAATTTGATTCTTCAATGAATACTTTTAGCTGCTTTTCCTTTTTCAAAAGTATGAACATTTTAATATTTAATTATTATTTCCCTTGCACACTCATAACCATGTAAAAGAACTATTTTAAGTTTCTCACAAGAATTAAAACATATTACTTAATTTTTCTTTGGGAATTGGTATGATTTTTATAAACTTTGTTATATAATATATAATTTGAAATAAAATTTTAAACCATGTAAATTATTGGTCCCTTAGTAACAATATTTTTGTTTTATTAAATCAGTAGCCTACTAAAATTAGTTTTAATCTGATATAACCAGGTTAACAAGACATTTTTTAAAAATTCTGAACGTCAAAACACTAAAAAACTAATTTGTGGTCACAGTCTTCAAAAAATCTTGTTCTCATACCTCCACTAAATGTCAATATTCTTGGATCCTCTTCTAAAATTCTAATAATTTTATTTCTGTGTAACATTTTTTATGAAGGCCAAACATGGTGATCCATGTATGTGACGAAGGAAAAAACTTGAAAGAAGATTTTATTTGCCCACGAGATCTTTTGATATCAGAAATGAAGTACTTTGCTGAATATTTATCTATGGATGCCCAGCGCTGGGAAGAGGTGGACATTTCAGTTCATTGTGACGTTCATATTTTCAACTGGTTGATAAAATATGTTAAAAGAAACACTAAGGAGAATAAAGATTGTGAGATGCCCACTTTAGGTAAAAGAAAATTGTTGTTTATTTTTATGGTGAAATTTGTGTGTCACCTGGTAGTTCTTTCAGGCCAAAAGTGAAATGTAGAAAATTGTTTGAATATTAATATTTATGCTTTTATTATAGCAGCCTTTTGGTAAATTGATACCTCATATCTTTTTTTTAGAAATTTAGTTAAATTATAGTAAATTCTTGGCAAATTAATAGGTCTGTAGGTCAGCAGTTCTTTTTTTTTTTTTAAAGACATTCTAATAATTCTTTTTTTTTTTTAAAGAGAGAGAGAGAATTTTTTAATATTTATTTTTTAGTTTTCAGCAGACACAACATCTTTGTTTGTGTGTGGTGCTGAGGATCGAACCYGGGCCGCACTCACGCCAGGCGAGCGCGCTACTGCTTGAGCCACATCCCCTGCCCAGCAGTTCTTAATATATGACTTGTGGACAGTTGGGGTCCTGGAGACCCTTTTAAAAGATCCACAAGATCAAAGCATAAAAATACCAAGGTGTTATTTATCTTTTTGTGTGTGTGTGTGTATGTGTGTGTGTGTGTGTGTGTGTGTGAGAGAGAGAGAGAGAGAGAAAGGATTGCTCAAATGGTGCAAAAGCAGTGGTGAGCAAAACTGTTGGACCTTTATGCCAAGTCAAGATACAGGAACGAAACTGTAGTAGTAGTCATTGTTTTTAACACATACACTCATAGTTGAGCAAGGAAAAAAGCCCCGGTATGGTGGCACACGCATGTAATCCCAGTGCTCTGAAGGCTGAGGCAGGAGGATTGCGAGTTCAAAGCCAGCCTCAGCAAAAGTGAGGTGCTAAACAACTCAGTGAGATCCTGTCTCTAAATAAAATAGAAAAAAGGACTGGGGAAATGTGGCTCAGTGGTTGAGTGCTCCTGAGTTCGATTAATGGTACCAAAAAGGCGGGGGGGAATATAGATTCACTTAAGAATGTTCTTGATGAAGCAATAAAAATTATTTATTTTATTAAATCTCAACCCTTAACACACACCTTCTTTAATATTCTGTGTGGCTGGGTACAGTGAGGCACACCTGTAATCCTCACTACTCAGGAGGCTAAGGCAGGAGATTGCAAGTTTGAGGCCAACCTGGGCAACTTAACATGACCCTGTCTCAAAAAATAAAAAGAACTTGAGATGTAGTTCAGTGGTAGAGTGCTTCCATTGCACAAGGCCTTGGGTTCAATCCCTAGTGCTATTTAAAAAAAAAAAAAAAAAATGTGTGATAGAAAAGGAAGTGTTCTCCTGCACCCCAGGGTATGATGATTGTCTTTAGGAAAAATACTTGTGCAATTCAGTCATGAACTAAACCAACTGCTTTTTAAAAGCAGAAAACCATTTTTAATTGAAAAAGCAACTGACAGAAATCATGATTATTTAGACTTAGGTATTTGGCAGATATTTTCTTGAGAATTAGCTAATTGCTTAAAGGAAAACATGTGTTTGTTGTCAGTGATAAAATCCAAACTTTCAAGCTGCGAATTAGAATTTAGGAAAGTTTATCTGTTTCTGTGTGCTTGACAGCTTCTCAATATTCAAAGATGTTTCTGATGAGATATGATTGGTGGTTATATTAATGAATGTGATTTTTTAAAATACATATTATAGAGTGAAATGTCTCACCAGTTAGCTAATATTTTCCGGGTGTCTACTACACAGTGTATTAAAAAAATCATTCATGGGTTTATGATCCAATCAGAGTACTAGATAAATTGTTTTGTTTTTTTTTAAAGAGAGAGAGAGAGAATTTTTTAAAATATTTATTTCTTTTTTAGTTCTCGGCAGACACAACATCTTTNGAGAGAGAGAGAGAGAGAGAAAGGATTGCTCAAATGGTGCAAAAGCAGTGGTGAGCAAAACTGTTGGACCTTTATGCCAAGTCAAGATACAGGAACGAAACTGTAGTAGTAGTCATTGTTTTTAACACATACACTCATAGTTGAGCAAGGAAAAAAGCCCCGGTATGGTGGCACACGCATGTAATCCCAGTGCTCTGAAGGCTGAGGCAGGAGGATTGCGAGTTCAAAGCCAGCCTCAGCAAAAGTGAGGTGCTAAACAACTCAGTGAGATCCTGTCTCTAAATAAAATAGAAAAAAGGACTGGGGAAATGTGGCTCAGTGGTTGAGTGCTCCTGAGTTCGATTAATGGTACCAAAAAGGCGGGGGGGAATATAGATTCACTTAAGAATGTTCTTGATGAAGCAATAAAAATTATTTATTTTATTAAATCTCAACCCTTAACACACACCTTCTTTAATATTCTGTGTGGCTGGGTACAGTGAGGCACACCTGTAATCCTCACTACTCAGGAGGCTAAGGCAGGAGATTGCAAGTTTGAGGCCAACCTGGGCAACTTAACATGACCCTGTCTCAAAAAATAAAAAGAACTTGAGATGTAGTTCAGTGGTAGAGTGCTTCCATTGCACAAGGCCTTGGGTTCAATCCCTAGTGCTATTTAAAAAAAAAAAAAAAAAATGTGTGATAGAAAAGGAAGTGTTCTCCTGCACCCCAGGGTATGATGATTGTCTTTAGGAAAAATACTTGTGCAATTCAGTCATGAACTAAACCAACTGCTTTTTAAAAGCAGAAAACCATTTTTAATTGAAAAAGCAACTGACAGAAATCATGATTATTTAGACTTAGGTATTTGGCAGATATTTTCTTGAGAATTAGCTAATTGCTTAAAGGAAAACATGTGTTTGTTGTCAGTGATAAAATCCAAACTTTCAAGCTGCGAATTAGAATTTAGGAAAGTTTATCTGTTTCTGTGTGCTTGACAGCTTCTCAATATTCAAAGATGTTTCTGATGAGATATGATTGGTGGTTATATTAATGAATGTGATTTTTTAAAATACATATTATAKAGTGAAATGTCTCACCAGTTAGCTAATATTTTCCGGGTGTCTACTACACAGTGTATTAAAAAAATCATTCATGGGTTTATGATCCAATCAGAGTACTAGATAAATTGTTTTGTTTTTTTTTAAAGAGAGAGAGAGAGAATTTTTTAAAATATTTATTTCTTTTTTAGTTCTCGGCAGACACAACATCTTTGTTTGTATGTGGTGCTGAGGATCGAACTCGGGCCTCACGCATGCCAGGCGAGCACGCTACCGCTTGAGCCACATCCCCAGCCCTAGATAAATTGTTTAACAGAGCAGAAAATGTTCGTTGATATGGTTTCAGATTCCATTGCAACTAACCCAGAAGAAACTACCACTCAGTAGATATTGGTGTGACATCAAAGAAGGTTACCCAAAAATTCAATGAAGAAATATATATGAGAATCTAGCTGTCTTCTATTAAGTCAGACATTTGTAAAAATGTCAAACAATGAAGCTCATCTCTCTACTTTTTTTATTTTGAAAAGTATAGTTATCTTTCACAAAAATATGTTAACATGTAATAGGTTTATAGTACTGCTCTTTTTAAATGAATAAAATAAATTTGTTAAAATTTTCTGTTTTCATAGTTTCTAATATGTGGAATATTGATGAATATAACCCACATAAACAGAAGCTCTTTATTTAGTATTGTGTTTTTGAGATCATAAAGGGGTTCTGAGACAGAAAATTTGAGACCCAATGTCCTCAATGATAGCAAAAATAACGATCTTTAATGGGAATAGACTCGTGTAGGAAGTCACACTTGCAGTTTAATAAAGTATTTCTGTATACTAGAGTTGCTATTTACAGCAGTATCATTTTTAAGCTCTTTTTATATTTTTTTTAGTTGTTGATCGACTTTTATGTATTTATTTATATGTAGTGCTGAGAATCGAACCCAGTGCCTCACACATAGCTAGGCAAGTGCTCTACCACTGAGCCACCACTTCATTATTAGAAAATAAGTCTATACTGACAGTATAAAATACAAGATTGCTAAATCAGAACCTTCAGCCAGAGTAGAGAGATTCTAAACCGTTCAGCTATGTATTTATGTATATGTGTATGAAATTAAAAAAAAATGTAGAGAGAAAAAAATGCTGTTTGAGCCTGGCGTGCTGGTGCACACTTGTAATCCCAGCAGATGGGAGGCTGAGGCAAGAAAATTGTAAATTCACAGCCAGCCTCAGCAACTTAGCAAGACCCTGAGCAACTCAGCAAGACCCTGTCTCTAAATAAAATACTAAAGAGGGCTGGGGATGTGGGTCAGTTGTTAAGGCCCTCTGGGTTCAATCCCTGGTATCAAAAAAAAAAAAAAAAATGCTGTTTGTTCCAGCATATTTACATATGTGAAAGAAATAGTGCAAAGCTAGTCATTCTGTTATCTTTGACTTTCAGTAAGTGGCTACAAATGTAAACTTTTATAAAAGCAGTTTTCATTATCATCATCAGGAAAAGTACTACATCTTAATACTTAAAAAGTACTTTAATCTCTAATAATCCAGCCACTGGTTCTTAACTGAAATGGTGTACATTACAATTTCCTGAAGAGCTTTTTCACCAGCTGCTTCCTCCTTTCACCATTTCCATTTGAGAACCATTAACCAGACTTCTTATTTAGGAAAAGATTGGAATGCTTACTTTAGTTATTGCCTAATACAAGAATGTTTTCTGGCACAAAAGAATTTAGAAGGATTGTTATAGTACTAGAATGGTAGCAAATCAGTTTTTCTTCTTAAATATACTTCATGGGGGATGGCAGGTTTATTGAAATTGTGTCAGGCAGCATCCCCATTTCCTTATCTGTATGCCCGAAAGCTCATTTAGTATGCCTCTAGGAAGTAACTTGAGTATTTCTGGAGTAGTAAATTTTTTATTAGCTTTCAGAATTTTTTTTTTTTTTTTGGCAGGGGTGGGGGTGGGAGTGGGGGTACTTAACCACTGAGCCACATCCCTAGTCCTATTTTGTATTTTACTTAGAGATAGGGTCTCACTGTTGCTGAGGCTGGTTTTGAATTCAAGATCCTCCTGCCTCAGCCTCCTGAGCCACTGTGATTACAAGCATGCACCACCATACCCAGCTTCAGAATTTTTTAAATTAAATATTCATTTATAACCAGCACTGAACTTCTTTTTTAAATAACTTCATAAATACCAAATGCTCTCATTAATTATTTTAAATATTTTCTCACTCTGACTTTTGCTTATGTCGTATCTTTAGTTGGAATCTTTGTACTTAATACAAATCTAATTCCAGGACAAAAATTACTGTGCATTTTCTGTATACTGTAAGTATTAACATTGAATTTTCTTTATTTTATGTACTTAAGCCTTATAGCGTAAGAAAGGTTAAATTAAATTGTTCTTACTAAAGTAACATCTTCTTTTAAGGAGAGAAGGAGCCTATTTTGAGGAGACTGAGATACAAATCAAAAGGAAATTTTAATATTTTTTCTTTTCTTTTTCTTTAGAGCCAGGAAATGTCATTTCAATTCTTATTTCCTCCGAATTTTTGAAAATGGATTCATTAGTAAGTATTAATTTTAAAAACTTCAAGAACTTCCCTTGAGGCTTTCCCCTCACCCCTATCTCTTCAAATGTCTGGAAAATTTTAGGACCTCTTACTAAAATAGTTGTTGTTAATTCAAGAGTGTAATTTTTTTTTAACTTTTTAAGCTATTGATGGGCCTTTATTTATTTATTAATTTATATGTGGTGCTGAGGATCGAACCCAGTGCCTCACACATGCTAGGCAAGCACTCTACCACTGAGCCACAATCTCAGCCCACGAGTGTAATTTCATTAGAATAAATTGCACRTTTGGAGATACTTTGTTCTGTTGGGAAAGGGTTAAGACAACTAGGTTTTTATGTGTTATGCTTATAAAGCAAGCAATTAATCCTCAAGAAGTAGCTCAGTGTTTTATTAGACGAAACTTTACCCCCAAAGGGGTTTGCCCTACCACCAAATTAAATGAAGCTTAATTGGAATATATTTGTTTTGCTATTGAAGTAATTTCATGTTTTGCTTATGTGTCTTTCATTTWTGAAAGTGAATGAAGGGGCTGGGGTTGTGGCTCAGTGGTAGAGCGCTAGCCTAGCACAAGTGAGGCCCTGGGTTCAATCCTCAGCACCACATAAAAATAAATAAAGATATTTCTCCCAACTACAACTAAAAAAATAAATATATACTTTTAAAAAAAAAAAGTGAATGAAGAACAATATCCAACTATTAAGTGCTGTGATTTTCTGTATCACAGGAGCTCATGACTATTGCTTAAGAGTAGCTGGTGAAAGATAAAAATACTATATGTGTACATACATATTTCAAGTTCTAATGTTAAATATATTTGTTTTTATTTTGTTTAATACATTTATTTTTCTTTCAAATAATTTTATATGTTTGTGGTTGATATTTTGTGGTTAATTTTTAAATAAATTTTGCTTTTAGCTTCTGGTAAAACTATATAGGACAGAATACACCTTTGCTATGGTTGGCAGAAGAGAAGTTTGATTAATTATTTGGAGTTTTACTAATTTTATTAGTTATAGTGTTCTTTCTACTTCTTAGCCTCTCCCTGTTCAACCAATTGGTATTATTTCAGAGAAAAGTTCCAGAACAAAAGTGAAGACTAACAGAGTCCTTACACTGAGTTTTGAAATATACATCCTAAAATATAATTTTTATGCTATTGGTAAAATATCTCAAAGAATAAGTGACTACTTCTCTTTGCTTTTAAAGTAAATAAATACACTTTAGGTTGCAAGGAGGGGAAGGAAGTCAGAGAGCAAATCTAACACAAGTAAGAAAGCCTTTAAGTGACTGAAGGTTTGGTTCTACTACCCCAAGAAATGGAGGCTTACAATTATAATGAAGTTTAACTAGAAAGTCACTTGTATGTATTTTACTCAAAGGTACAGAATTAAGGTTTATACCATACCTGCCACAACCATAAAAGGTACATTATTGTTTGAAATAGAAAAGGTTGAAAATAATGTTGCTAGGTTTGTCTGTGTGTTTACAAATTAAACCTGCTGGACCACATTGCAAGGGCAGATTAAACCAAATAGGCAAACCCARTTAGTAAATAGAAATACATGGATTAGGCTTTTGATGAATTTGATGTTTGAAAGGTRTGACATTATCATTTGTTCTATTCTGTGTTTTTTAGGTTGAACAGTGTATTCAATATTGCCACAAAAACATGAATGCCATAGTAGCTACCCCATGCAACATGAACTGTATTAATGCAAATCTTCTTACACGTATAGCTGATCTGTTCACACATGATGAAGTTGATGATTTAAAAGACAAAAAAGATAAGTTTAGAAGGTAAATTTAATTTTAAATCTAATGTTTCTATTAAATGAAATATGTCTGTTTAATTTTGGTGAAATTCTATTTTTAAAATATATTTTTAAATATATTTTTGTTTTAAGAGCCAGTGGCTTATAATTTTAAAAAATTAGTAATTATTTTGTATAATGAACATATAAACATATGGTTGTATTGAATTATGTTAAAATTATTAAGACAGGCTCTAGTATAAAAGGGGAAAGTGATATGAGATCTGCAGTAGCCATATTATTTAAGAGCTGTTGAGGTCATAGAAAGGAAGATATGCCTTGTTCTAGGTGTGAATAGAAGTAAGGGAGTGACATGATCTAATTTGTCTTAAGGGATCATTCTGGTTGCTATATGGAGATAGACTTTAGGGATATAAGAAGCAGTAGAATGCCTGCCTTGTATGCACAAGGCCTGGGTTCAATTCTCAGCACCACACACACACAAAAAAAAAAAAAAAAAAAAAAAAACAGGAGACCCATTAGAAGGTTAGTGCAGTAGTCTGGGAAAAAATGAAAGAATTTGACTAGGGTAGAAGCAATGAAACTAGAAAGAAGTAGATTGGTTCAGTGCGTGTTATTAGAAAGATTTGACATATTTGTGAATTGGATGATGTGGGAAGAAAGAGAGATTTCCAGGATAATTAATAGGTTTTACCTTGAGCAACTACATGGATAGTAGTGCCATTAATGGAGAAAGGAAAGATTGGGGTAAGAGAAATCAAGAGTTAGATTTGGATTTTGAGGCTGTTTAATATACTTCTTGGACATTCAGATGGCATACAGGTGGATATTGAATTCATTAGTCTATATTTTAGGTCAGAGTTTAGGGCTTAAAATAGAAATTTGAGAGTATATGAGATTTAAATAACAGAACTGAATGAGATTTCCTAGCAAGAGACCACAATTAGTGTTTTTTTGTACCCTGCTCAAGAACTCTTTGCCTACATGAAGGTGGTAAAGATAGCCTGTTTTTTCTGTTATTTGTCCTGAATTAGTTTTTTKTGTGTGTGTGGTATGAAATGGGGGTCAAGGTTCATTTTTTGCTCAACTAGATATTTAGTTGACAGACCACCAGAAAAGACCTTTTTTTCCTCACTGAATTGAAGTGTCACCTGTACGATAAATCAGGTTACTATTCATAAGGTCCATTTATAAGTTCTCCATTTTGTTCTATTGATCTGCCTGTCCTCTTGAATTAATTACAGTAGCCTTATAATAATTTTTGGTATTTTCCAGCTTTACCTTTCTTTAGATTGCTGTCTGGATATTTTAAGTCCTTTGCATTGCTATATAAATTTTATAATTAGCTTGTRTTTTTCATATATGCACAAATCTGCTAGAATTTGGGGATTAATATTGAAACTATAGATGAATTGGGAAGAATTTAACATCTTAATATTAAGCCTTTTGGTCCATGAATATGATATAACCCTCTATTTCTTTGAGTCTTCTTTAACTTAATTCAGTAATTTCTTATTATCTTTGATGTAGAGAAATTTCCCTTTTTAATTAAAATTTCCAAATTATTTAATTTTTGATGCTATTGTAAATGCTGTTTTTACTTATTGTTAACAAGAGAGTGTTAATTAGAATACTCAGTATTTAGAGGTTCAACAGAGGAGAAGTAGCCTGTGAGGGACCTGAGAAGGAACCAGTGAAATAGAAGGAAAGGCAGAAGGAAAGAAAGTTTCAAAAGGAGGTACCAGGGCTGGGGATGTGGCTCAAATGGTAGCGCGCTCGCCTGGCATGCATGCGGCCCAGGTTGGATCCTCAGCTCCACATACAAACAAAGATGTTGTATCTGCCGAAAACTGAAAAATAAATATTAAAAWWTTTTTTAAAAAAGGAGGTACCAATTAAGTGACCAAATGTGTGGGAATGCTATTTTGAGGTAGAGTAAGATAGAAACAGAAATGTGACCAATTAGATTTAGAAAAAAATTTTGCAGATATTTTGCTGTGAATGGCTGCTAAAAAAATTCAGCAGCAGATATTATGAATAGGTAGGCTGAAGAGAGAATATTTTTAAAGAAGGGACATACTGAACTTGTCATAGTGTGCATGCCTTGAATCACTGCTACTTGGGAAGCTGAAGCAAGAGAATCACAAGTTCAGGGCCAGCCTCAACAACTTAGTGAGAGCCTCAGCAATTTAACAAGACCATGTCTCAAAGAAAAAATAAAATAAAAAGGACTGGGGATGATGTAACTGAGTGTAAAGCACCACTGGGTTCSATCCTTAGTGCAAAATAAAGAGGAGTGGGCACTGAATCATGTTTATGTGCTGATCAGGATGATCCATTAAAGAGGAAGAAATGGATAATGCAGAAGATTATCCAAGAATTCAGTCCTTAAGGAGAATGATATAGAGTATTACACGTAATAATAAAGTAATT